TATTTTAATGTGAATGTTAAAAAGTTTATTGAACTGTAATAAAAGTATTATCTGTGAAATTGACAGTAAATTATTGCTGTTTACACTGATAAAAACTGTATTTGGTTGGACAGTTTACCAATGCTTATACACTGATAAACAACATTTATTCAACTTCCATCATTATACAAGATATCTGTCAGTTAACTAACTAATCCATTAAAATTACACAACTAATACTTTTTACTGTTAATGTCACTGATTTTATATCATTTTAGAAATGTATTAACAGTATTAAACTTGAATTTAACAATTTAATATATGAAATGAACAATAAATATACATTAGAATAGATGTTAATTTTCTTTAATTAAGCAGATTATTCACGTAATTTTCAATTCATTATAATTCAGTATTTGTTAAACTGTATTAATTTTTAATAATTTAATTTCCATGTATTTAAAATAAACTGTTAAAAACCTTTAAACCTGCAGATTATTTCACAGTTTAGACGTGCAAACAACTTATTACAACTTGAGGCTCAAACTGGGTTATTTATTGTTTCAGTCAAACCAATCATCAATGAGCTGGATCATCATCACAATATCTGCTCTTATATCACATCATCAATACAATATTCGATCAATTTAAAATCATCCAGCTTTAAATGCATTTTGACATGAACCCGTTATTAAATCACTTCCCAGCTCGTGCTTAAACTGACATTTTATTACAAAGACGTGTGACTGATGAAACTGTACATTTTACATGTTGTTGAATCGAGAATTAGAAAGTAAAACAACCAATAAAAGAAATAAAAGACAGCCTGTGTGTATAAAACTGCTCATATGTCAGATAAACCTGCAGAAATCAAGTATTAGCATGAGGTAACATCAGCTAGCTCTCAATAACTTCTTTACATGCTTTGTGGCTTTTCGTATATATATATAACTATCCAGTGTTATGCTAGCTGTCTGTGTTACCGGCACCAGACCTAGGGGAAATCTGGACCAGCAGCAAGGGTTACACAGGGAGCACTGTGTAGCCAATATATAAACTGTGGATTGACAGAGAGATGACGAAAGTTAGCGTCTTGCTCATGCCAGAGCTTGTTTATTTCTGAGCTGCGCATGTGCAGAGCTTGTGGCTACAGTCTCCTAATGGGATCCACAGACAGCAATAGAGCACCACCTGCTTGCGTAATAGTGTACCTATCTTAAGTGTGTGCAATTGAATGAATCAATTATTTACAAAAAAAATAGGACTGTTTAAACAAAACTTTACATACTAAGCTAAGCTAAGCTAATGTATGCAAGCTATGTTCAATATCTTAAGTTAAGGAATAGTTGAACAATTTCATAAATATTAAGTACTAGTAAATTAAAGTACACACTCCTGATGAGGTTAGTTTAGCTTAAAC